AGAACAATAACTCACAGTCCAAATTAACAGCATGCACCATCTGCTACCATTTTTATCTTCCAATTGTCGGACTTTAAACGACCATGTCCCTGGTCATCCTCCTCCGCATGCCTGCGCCCAACTTGATTTTGCTAACAGAATGCCAAACGAACGCTATTGTTTTCTTTCAGGGCCTGCTGACCCCTGACCCCGCAGAGGACATGGTTCACCCGAGTGACACGTCGGACACCAACAACGAGAAGCTGGCGCTGGAACGCAGTGTTGCACATGGCAGTACCAACGGCAACGGCCACTCGGCTGGGCCCACAACCACTCCGAACGGGGACCACAAAGTCAATCAGCGGGTGTACGAGCCGCGCGAGCGCTTCATTATCACCAAGAACGTGGTCGTAATAGGCCTGGCCTTCATGATTCACTTCACGGCCTTCCACGGCACCTCGAACCTGCAGAGCTCGGTGAACGCGGACGAGGCCCTCGGAACCACCACCCTGGCGGTCATCTACGGCTCGCTGATACTGTCCAACATCTTCCTGCCGATGACCGTGATTAGGTGAGTGGACTGCGAAAGTGGTTGGGATTTGGACGAGGGGTCTTATTAAACAAGAAAGGAAGTTAACTTCGGCAGTTATAATTATAAAATTTAAAAATACTAAAAATGGTATTCCTAATAGTATAAAATAATATGTCAAAAAACCGAAGCTATAATTTGTTTCATATTATTTTCTTACCAATATTCCGATAGTTCCTATGGCAGCTATATGATATAGTCGTCCGGTTTTGAAAAGATTTATTTCGAAATTCAAAACAAATTAAAAAGTGTTATTTCCAAGCTTAGGAGGTTATATGTTAAAAGACACCAAAGATATAATTTTTTAAAATTCTTTTTCCGTTTATTTCTTAGGAAGCAATAATATATAGTTGTTCGATCCGACTGGTTCCGACTTATATACTACCTGCAAAAGAAATAAGACTTTTAAGAAAGTTTAAGCCCGATAGCTTTACAACTAAGAGACTAGTTTGCGTAGAAACGGACGGACAAACGGACAGACGGACATGGCTAGATCGACTCGTCTAGTCATGCTGATCAGGGATATATATACTTTATGGGGTCCTTCACTGCGTTGCAAACTTCTGACTTAAATCATTATACCCTCTGCAAGGGTATATAAATCGGGGGAATAAGTAGAATGACAGTTTGGAAGTTGGAGACACCTTCTTTTGAAAATTACACATAGTTAATTCACGGTCCTTGCATCCTTGCGCTGAACTTACCAAAACAAAGAAATAACCAAAAAGAAAATGAAACCGCAAATTCTTCAGATCTATAGAAGTGGGTGGCCGAAAATTCCAGCAACCGAAAGTTTAATCCAATTAATTTATTATTATTACAATACATATATGTCATTGATGTACAAGTTATGGAAAACGAATCATCTTGGAATGACGTAAAGTATTTGAATGTTTCATTTAGAAGTGAGGTCCCAGCTGATTGAAGCAAACTGTTGGTTCTTGAAGGGCTCTAGAATACAAGCCCTTCATTATACTACAATAATTTACAATACACCCAAAGACAACTTATATACTGCAGTTAAAATAATTCAAAGGCCATTTCCTTATAGCCAATGAATTTTCAATGGGCCCATGCCCATCGCTTACCAACCCATCTTGCAGAAGATAGATTGCTTAACCACAATCGAAAGAGTACTCAAATTTAGCCTCTTAGCATAATTGCCAATTTTTGTTCGGAGTTTCTTTGTCTCGCGAGAGGGTGAAGCTCATTTCGCGACGTGTGGCATGCCATAAAGTTTCGGTGATTGTCTGGCGGCGTTTTTTATGGGGATTTTATGCAGATGTGACATCGCCGAAAGCGCAGTCAGCAGACGCCCCGAAATGTTTGTGTGACTGCGAGCGCAGTTGGCTGTAAAAATGTCAACAGGAAGTCCCTGGATTAGCACAGGTCCTGCTATCCCGCTATCCAGCTTTCCCTATTTCCGAATGTATCCCGATTCGGGGGCGGTGAGGCATCCACCCACGTCTGACATTTAAACAAATCGCTAATTTATAGCGGGCCTCGCTTCACTTGGCTTATTCGAGGCACGAACTGCTGGCTCGGGCAACTTTAATCAGTTAACTCGATTTATTTAGATTTATGGCCTTGGGCCCGAAATAAATGACCGCCTGCTAAGCATGTGCCACTTGCCACTCGGCACTCACCCGTCCCCAAAGTATCCTACTTATTTCTATTTTTCTGTTTTCCCGATGGGTTCCATCAACAGTTGGTTCGGCTGCCGGCTGACCATGGCGCTGGCCCTGTTCGCCTACATGCCCTACATAGCCGCCCAGTTCTACCCGAGGTTCGCGACCCTGATCCCGGCGGCCCTGATGGTGGGCTTCGGAGGCGGACCGCTGTGGTGCTCCAAGTGCACCTACCTCTCCACCGTCTCGGAGGCCCTCACCCAGGTGCGGGGCAACAAGTCGCGCAAGGACGTCAACACCGTCAAGTTCTTCGGACTCTTCTTCATCTTCTACCAGATGGCCCAGGTGTGGGGCAACCTGATCTCCTCCTCGGTCCTGACCCTGAGTGCCCCTTCCCCGCAGTCGCCGGCCAACGAGAGCTTCGAGCTGGAGCTGCAGCGGGAGCTCGAGCGCAGCAGGGTGGCCCAGCTCTGCGGGGCCCGTTTCTGCCCAGGAGTAGGAGCCGAGGCCAATCCCAACCTGGTGCCGCCTGCCCCCGAGCAAATCCAGCTGCTCAACTCCATCTTCCTCGCGTGCATGGCAGCCGCAGTGGTCATGATGATCTTCGGAGTCAGCTCCCTCAAGCGGTGAGTAAAAAGTTTTATTTAAATAATGAAAAAGAAAAATTAAGTTAACAACTTTATATCCTGCTGAAACAAAAACAATAATAGAAAGGAACACTTAATAAGCCTAATAATAAAGTTATAATATTTTTACTAAGGCAGACAAAGAAACCTTTAGCAGACACTTTTACCAATTACTGGTGCCTATGAGGCCCATGTTGCTTCGGTGGGTTATAGTGGGCGTGACACTAACCCACTATAACTCCCACAACTCGCAAGAGTTTGAGGCGCCCACATTTAAGAATTTATTTTAATTGTAAATTGTATTTTCTTTGTCCATATCTATAGATTTCTTAATTGATAATTCTTAAAGAAAAGGCTTGAAATGTGCAGCATAAAAATATATGTGTTTGAAATCGAAATTCTTCAACTGTTTATAACTTGGTTATTATCTTTAGCATTCACAAACTTTTGAAGTCAAAGTTGGTTTATGTTATAAACTTATTATAAAGTAAAACTATCAAAAACAGATATAGACAAACACCTTATTATTAACACATAGTAAATGTATGTTTGCAATTTGATCCACTTAAAAGGGTTTGCAGCCTTGTGTCTTAAAGTAAATTAAATTAACTTTTCTTAAATTAAAAAAATAAAAAAAATGTAAAAACACCGAAGTTTCCAGTGGACACGATACTAGACAGATTTTTGAATTTAAGTATATATTGATTTATATTTTCTTCAATTTGAGATATGGTCGGTTCTAATTCCCATTTAATGATCCGCAGCTATGGAGTCAAGCGCGGAGATACCGGCGACGGAATGTCCGGCCTGAAGCTCCTCACAGTGACCATAAACCTGCTCCGCAAGCGCCGCCAGATCCTGATGCTGCCCATCACGATGTTCATCGGCCTGGAGGAGGCCTTCCTGGCCGTGGACTTCACCCGCTCCTTCGTGGCCTGCGGATGGGGCATCTCCAGGATCGGGTTCGCCATGATCTGCTTTGGAGTGGCGAACGCGGTGGCTGCCGGGATAGCAGGTGCCCTGGTGGAGCGCTTCGGGCGAGTCACCCTGGCCGGACTGTGCGCTGTGCTGAACCTCTGCCTGCTCACCTACATGTACTCCTGGGAGGCGAGGGAAGGCGACTACCTGAGCTACTGCGCCTTTGCTGCGATTTGGGGCATTTGCGACGGAGTCTGGCTGGTGGTGGTCAGTGGTTGGTGAACCCACTAAGTTCCGGCTTGAGCTGGACTCAAGCTTTAGTTTCTCCACTAACCCCTATACTTGCAGCTTTTTATGGCATTCTGTTCCCGAACCATCTGATTGCCGCTTATAGCAACTTCCGGCTGTGGGAAAGCACTGGTTCTGTAATCGGCTACGTCATCAGTTCGCAGCTTTGCACCTCCACAAAATTGCTGATTTTGATGGGCGTTATGTGCGTGGGCTGCGTGGGGTAAGTTTTCCACTTGAATTTCCCCATTTTTCCACTGATATTCGTTATTTTCCTTGAACAGGTATGGCCTCATCGAATACCGCGTTTGGCAGAAGCAAAAGAACCTGGAGGTCATGCTCAGTGACTGATCTATAAGTGTAATCCATTAAAGCTATTCCATATTCTTGCCATTTACTTTTTGACTTTGTTTCCAAAAATCAACTTTGATCGAATTTGTGACCAAGTCCCCAAGAATTTCCAAGTTATATTATTTTAACCTTTGTTTAAGAAGAAACCCTTTTCTAAATCCCACTTTCTACTATTCAAATTTAAAAGCGGAAACAGATATAGTTGCTTTATGTGATATTGCCAAGTAAGGTTAAGAAACGGTTCTTTTAAGAACTCTTCGTTACTGAATAAAACCAAGTTTGTTTTAATTTTTTAAATAGTATTTTTTATTACAATCATTTAAATATTTGTTCAGTTGTAGCTGTTTTCTTGCTATGTACCATTTAAATTTCGTAGTTGAAATATTTGTTCTTTTTCGTTCTTTTCAATCATAATTTTTTAAGTTGCTACATAATGTTGCTTATTCTAAACACTTGCTGTCTTTATAGCTTGCTTTTGTTCTTTTTGAGTGCTACCATATAGAATTTTCTTAGTTTTCGAGTCTGAACTGGCTAAATACTAGGGTTATAATTTGTTTTATAAATTGTTGAAATCAGATTCATTTCAGTATACAAGTTTAGCCAACGCATTAAATGCAAATATTTTTACTCATCGCTTACGAGCTCTACAGAATTTCTTAGACTGCGGGTCATGCATAGATTTTATGCAGTTTTGGTTTAAATGGTTTTTAAACATTTAGTAATTTGTTACGTGGTATGAACTGGTTTCATTTTTGTTTTTCTTTTTTTTTGTTTTGGAATGGCACATCAATGTGATAAAATTTGGCCTAAAACTGCACAAGTCTGCCTTGGGGACTTTAGACTACTTTTAGGCTATTTGGGATATGATAAGTGTTAAGTAATTACTTAGATGGCTAGATATTCAATTGGATTGGGTTCTTGGGTTTCGGGTTGTGGTTCGCTTGCGTAAGCCGATGTCCTTTGTAAATGCTTTACATGGCCTAACTGCTAAACTATAGGGTGTTGTACAACTATCACACTGTAATACACTCTCTCACACACACAAGCACGCATACACACTCACACTTAGACACCTAGCTATATACACGGGCCAGCTATTTACAAGGGCCCCTGGCCCTATACCATGCCCTTGGACATCATGCGAACGGTGTTCTTGAGGGCCTGTCGCTTGTTGCAGAACCAGATCCGGATCACTTCGCGCTCGTATCCCAGCTGGTGGGCCAGTCCGGTGATTTCGGTGCCTGCGTGGAGGGGGAATATATTTAGAGCGGTTCCGGGGTCTGAGACTTCTTGTAACTGAAAGTTACCACTCACCCGAAGGATGCGTATTCCGCTCGAAGTGCGCATTCAGCAGCTCCAGAGCCTGGGGCGTGAAGGAGGTGCGTCGCTTGCGCTTTTTCGAAGGCTCCACGCCTATGTAGTCGGTAAGGTGGTTCTGGCCCGACTTGTAGCGGTTCCAGTGGCTAAATGTGCGGAGAGAAACGCAAGTTAGACGGATTTGCCAAAAAGTGGCGCCCAACGTGGGGCAAAACGGCGTGTGGAACTGCCTCCATACTCTCACCTCTCTTCGGCCTCCTTCATCCAGCGCTCCAGCACAGGCTTGATCTTCTGTGCGCTCTTTGGTGTGATGTCCAGCTTCTCGAACCTGCGGTTTTGGAGTGGAGTGGAGGGGTATGTATGGAATTAGATCGCTGACCTGATCGTTCGATCGGCTCGTGCAAGCCCATTTTAACGCAAAAGAAACGTAACTAAAGTGCCAGGACATTGTCAATTAGCATTCTCTTTCGGTTGGGGTACGCTCTTTCTTAATCGTTCAATGGTAGAAATTTCGTTTCATTTCGTTTCTGATGAGCTGCTGAAACGCTGCTCTTTGGCAATGCCCTGGGCCAATTCTCGGAAGCGCATTATGCAAATTAAAGGTGAAACAAAAGAAATACATGGCGAAATGAACAGGTTAATGAGCCTTGCACTTTAGTTAGGTTTCTCTTGGACTGCACACACACACACACAGCACACACACTCCCTCAAGGAGGCACACATACATGTTCTGCTGCTGCGTCGACAGTTGGGCGGCGTACATCTGCGCAGCGAGTGCACTGCTTGCATTCGATAGTTGGCATTCGACATTCGATATTCGGTATTCGGTTTTCGGTATTCAGTGGGTGGCATTCGACATTCGATGTTGAGAGAGAGAGAGTTAGATAGAGTTGGCGTTTGAATCGAAAAAATAAACAAATAAAGTAAATAAAATTAATTTAGCATTTAATTGGTTTGTTGTCTGTTTTTCGTGGTTAATTTAGCATGTTTTAGATTTGCTAGAAAATGTCCTGGCACTCTTCGAAAATTGGTTCCAGAAGTTTACGAAAAACAAATTAGGTAAACATAAATATGTGGATTTAAGCAAAAAATATTGTTGAGAAAAATATAAAGAAACACGTTTGCTTAGAGGGAAAATGGTCTTTATTCGCTTCATCTAATGCTGCTATAACTTGTACCTAAAATAAATGAACATTGCCATTTTATTCATATACTTTGATTGAGAAATGGGAAAACCATAATCTTTGAGCGATTTTAGAACATGAAAGAAGAAGTGCACCTACCTCTCCACCGTCTCGGAGGCCCTCACCCAGGTGCGGGGCAACAAGTCGCGCAAGGACGTCAACACCGTCAAGTTCTTCGGACTCTTCTTCATCTTCTACCAGATGGCCCAGGTGTGGGGCAACCTGATCTCCTCCTCGGTCCTGACCCTGAGTGCCCCTTCCCCGCAGTCGCCGGCCAACGAGAGCTTCGAGCTGGAGCTGCAGCGGGAGCTCGAGCGCAGCAGGGTGGCCCAGCTCTGCGGGGCCCGTTTCTGCCCAGGAGTAGGAGCCGAGGCCAATCCCAACCTGGTGCCGCCTGCCCCCGAGCAAATCCAGCTGCTCAACTCCATCTTCCTCGCGTGCATGGCAGCCGCAGTGGTCATGATGATCTTCGGAGTCAGCTCCCTCAAGCGGTGAGTAAAAAGTTTTATTTAAATAATGAAAAAGAAAAATTAAGTTAACAACTTTATATCCTGCTGAAACAAAAACAATAATAGAAAGGAACACTTAATAAGCCTAATAATAAAGTTATAATATTTTTACTAAGGCAGACAAAGAAACCTTTAGCAGACACTTTTACCAATTACTGGTGCCTATGAGGCCCATGTTGCTTCGGTGGGTTATAGTGGGCGTGACACTAACCCACTATAACTCCCACAACTCGCAAGAGTTTGAGGCGCCCACATTTAAGAATTTATTTTAATTGTAAATTGTATTTTCTTTGTCCATATCTATAGATTTCTTAATTGATAATTCTTAAAGAAAAGGCTTGAAATGTGCAGCATAAAAATATATGTGTTTGAAATCGAAATTCTTCAACTGTTTATAACTTGGTTATTATCTTTAGCATTCACAAACTTTTGAAGTCAAAGTTGGTTTATGTTATAAACTTATTATAAAGTAAAACTATCAAAAACAGATATAGACAAACACCTTATTATTAACACATAGTAAATGTATGTTTGCAATTTGATCCACTTAAAAGGGTTTGCAGCCTTGTGTCTTAAAGTAAATTAAATTAACTTTTCTTAAATTAAAAAAATAAAAAAAATGTAAAAACACCGAAGTTTCCAGTGGACACGATACTAGACAGATTTTTGAATTTAAGTATATATTGATTTATATTTTCTTCAATTTGAGATATGGTCGGTTCTAATTCCCATTTAATGATCCGCAGCTATGGAGTCAAGCGCGGAGATACCGGCGACGGAATGTCCGGCCTGAAGCTCCTCACAGTGACCATAAACCTGCTCCGCAAGCGCCGCCAGATCCTGATGCTGCCCATCACGATGTTCATCGGCCTGGAGGAGGCCTTCCTGGCCGTGGACTTCACCCGCTCCTTCGTGGCCTGCGGATGGGGCATCTCCAGGATCGGGTTCGCCATGATCTGCTTTGGAGTGGCGAACGCGGTGGCTGCCGGGATCGCAGGTGCCCTGGTGGAGCGCTTCGGGCGAGTCACCCTGGCCGGACTGTGCGCTGTGCTGAACCTCTGCCTGCTCACCTACATGTACTCCTGGGAGGCGAGGGAAGGCGACTACCTGAGCTACTGCGCCTTTGCTGCGATTTGGGGCATTTGCGACGGAGTCTGGCTGGTGGTGGTCAGTGGTTGGTGAACCCACTAAGTTCCGGCTTGAGCTGGACTCAAGCTTTAGTTTCTCCACTAACCCCTATACTTGCAGCTTTTTATGGCATTCTGTTCCCGAACCATCTGATTGCCGCTTATAGCAACTTCCGGCTGTGGGAAAGCACTGGTTCTGTAATCGGCTACGTCATCAGTTCGCAGCTTTGCACCTCCACAAAATTGCTGATTTTGATGGGCGTTATGTGCGTGGGCTGCGTGGGGTAAGTTTTCCACTTGAATTTCCCCATTTTTCCACTGATATTCGTTATTTTCCTTGAACAGGTATGGCCTCATCGAATACCGCGTTTGGCAGAAGCAAAAGAACCTGGAGGTCATGCTCAGTGACTGATCTATAAGTGTAATCCATTAAAGCTATTCCATATTCTTGCCATTTACTTTTTGACTTTGTTTCCAAAAATCAACTTTGATCGAATTTGTGACCAAGTCCCCAAGAATTTCCAAGTTATATTATTTTAACCTTTGTTTAAGAAGAAACCCTTTTCTAAATCCCACTTTCTACTATTCAAATTTAAAAGCGGAAACAGATATAGTTGCTTTATGTGATATTGCCAAGTAAGGTTAAGAAACGGTTCTTTTAAGAACTCTTCGTTACTGAATAAAACCAAGTTTGTTTTAATTTTTTAAATAGTATTTTTTATTACAATCATTTAAATATTTGTTCAGTTGTAGCTGTTTTCTTGCTATGTACCATTTAAATTTCGTAGTTGAAATATTTGTTCTTTTTCGTTCTTTTCAATCATAATTTTTTAAGTTGCTACATAATGTTGCTTATTCTAAACACTTGCTGTCTTTATAGCTTGCTTTTGTTCTTTTTGAGTGCTACCATATAGAATTTTCTTAGTTTTCGAGTCTGAACTGGCTAAATACTAGGGTTATAATTTGTTTTATAAATTGTTGAAATCAGATTCATTTCAGTATACAAGTTTAGCCAACGCATTAAATGCAAATATTTTTACTCATCGCTTACGAGCTCTACAGAATTTCTTAGACTGCGGGTCATGCATAGATTTTATGCAGTTTTGGTTTAAATGGTTTTTAAACATTTAGTAATTTGTTACGTGGTATGAACTGGTTTCATTTTTGTTTTTCTTTTTTTTTGTTTTGGAATGGCACATCAATGTGATAAAATTTGGCCTAAAACTGCACAAGTCTGCCTTGGGGACTTTAGACTACTTTTAGGCTATTTGGGATATGATAAGTGTTAAGTAATTACTTAGATGGCTAGATATTCAATTGGATTGGGTTCTTGGGTTTCGGGTTGTGGTTCGCTTGCGTAAGCCGATGTCCTTTGTAAATGCTTTACATGGCCTAACTGCTAAACTATAGGGTGTTGTACAACTATCACACTGTAATACACTCTCTCACACACACAAGCACGCATACACACTCACACTTAGACACCTAGCTATATACACGGGCCAGCTATTTACAAGGGCCCCTGGCCCTATACCATGCCCTTGGACATCATGCGAACGGTGTTCTTGAGGGCCTGTCGCTTGTTGCAGAACCAGATCCGGATCACTTCGCGCTCGTATCCCAGCTGGTGGGCCAGTCCGGTGATTTCGGTGCCTGCGTGGAGGGGGAATATATTTAGAGCGGTTCCGGGGTCTGAGACTTCTTGTAACTGAAAGTTACCACTCACCCGAAGGATGCGTATTCCGCTCGAAGTGCGCATTCAGCAGCTCCAGAGCCTGGGGCGTGAAGGAGGTGCGTCGCTTGCGCTTTTTCGAAGGCTCCACGCCTATGTAGTCGGTAAGGTGGTTCTGGCCCGACTTGTAGCGGTTCCAGTGGCTAAATGTGCGGAGAGAAACGCAAGTTAGACGGATTTGCCAAAAAGTGGCGCCCAACGTGGGGCAAAACGGCGTGTGGAACTGCCTCCATACTCTCACCTCTCTTCGGCCTCCTTCATCCAGCGCTCCAGCACAGGCTTGATCTTCTGTGCGCTCTTTGGTGTGATGTCCAGCTTCTCGAACCTGCGGTTTTGGAGTGGAGTGGAGGGGTATGTATGGAATTAGATCGCTGACCTGATCGTTCGATCGGCTCGTGCAAGCCCATTTTAACGCAAAAGAAACGTAACTAAAGTGCCAGGACATTGTCAATTAGCATTCTCTTTCGGTTGGGGTACGCTCTTTCTTAATCGTTCAATGGTAGAAATTTCGTTTCATTTCGTTTCTGATGAGCTGCTGAAACGCTGCTCTTTGGCAATGCCCTGGGCCAATTCTCGGAAGCGCATTATGCAAATTAAAGGTGAAACAAAAGAAATACATGGCGAAATGAACAGGTTAATGAGCCTTGCACTTTAGTTAGGTTTCTCTTGGACTGCACACACACACACACAGCACACACACTCCCTCAAGGAGGCACACATACATGTTCTGCTGCTGCGTCGACAGTTGGGCGGCGTACATCTGCGCAGCGAGTGCACTGCTTGCATTCGATAGTTGGCATTCGACATTCGATATTCGGTATTCGGTTTTCGGTATTCAGTGGGTGGCATTCGACATTCGATGTTGAGAGAGAGAGAGTTAGATAGAGTTGGCGTTTGAATCGAAAAAATAAACAAATAAAGTAAATAAAATTAATTTAGCATTTAATTGGTTTGTTGTCTGTTTTTCGTGGTTAATTTAGCATGTTTTAGATTTGCTAGAAAATGTCCTGGCACTCTTCGAAAATTGGTTCCAGAAGTTTACGAAAAACAAATTAGGTAAACATAAATATGTGGATTTAAGCAAAAAATATTGTTGAGAAAAATATAAAGAAACACGTTTGCTTAGAGGGAAAATGGTCTTTATTCGCTTCATCTAATGCTGCTATAACTTGTACCTAAAATAAATGAACATTGCCATTTTATTCATATACTTTGATTGAGAAATGGGAAAACCATAATCTTTGAGCGATTTTAGAACATGAAAGAAGATGTCGAAAAGTATGCTACGGTTAATTTTCTACTCGAAAGTCATATACAACGTTGTCATACATTTATACGTCTAATAGGAGGTTTAAAAGACCTAAAGATTTCTGTTTTATATAAAGTTATGGTTATTTAATAAATATACATTTTAGCTCAATACTTCAAGATCAATCATTTCAAATCAATATAGATATTTTGATATATTGAAAGTAAGAAAACTATTATCTTCGCTTGGAAAAATTTAAGATGTAAATCAGAATACTGGTAACTAATTTGCTCTCGCGTTGTATCCTTTGCTTAAATCTCAGACTACTTAGGATGGCTCGTCCATGCATATCTCACCTGCAAATGGCGCTCTGGCTGTAGGCGGGTCCCTCGGTCACCGACAAGGCCTGGCCCACCTGGGTTTGGGTGAGTCCCAGCGACAGGCGCCGCAGCTTGAATGCCTTGGCGAACTCCTTGATCTCGTCCAGGTCGATGCCGTCCACCACATTGGTGGTGGCCTGGTTGATGGTGGGTTCATCTGGTGGAAGAGAGGGAATACAAATCCGGTTAGTGGAAAGCCCAGTCGCTGTATCGAATGCATTAAGTCTAACTAATAATTGGATAATTAGCTTGTCTATCCGGCTTAATAGGCCATGCAAATGACATCATAAATTTCCGCCCGGCCCTCGTCTTAATTACAGCTAATTGCGGTAATGGCAAAACATTATTGCAGTGCAGCACAGGCAAATTGATAAAGTACACGGCTAAGACACCTGCCAGGTTGCTCTTGTCTATTAGGCAAGTGCGAAACTCACGGTTTCCCTCCGCCTAATTTGTTAGCAGGAAGCCTGAAGGATGCAAACTACTCGCGTAGAATTTTGATTTATTTATTAATGATATGCAAGAAGGGAAGGGTTCCAGTCCCACGGAGCAGCAGACAACCAACAACAGCCAACAGCTAACTGCAACTTCAACGGCAGCCTTGTGTTTTAGCGGTAATTAAGATGCGAGAACGGATTGGATTGGATGGGATGGGACGGCTGGATGGTAAAGGATCCTTTCCACATCCTTTGCGGGCCGTAACTCAAGCTGTCGTCGCAGCTAGCTGGCTTTGTTTGGCCCGGCTGTTGTTGTTTGCTGCAGCGTTTGAAATATGTCATTAAATGCGGAAGACATCTTAAGTTTTTGTATGCATCAATTAGTAGTAATTAAGCCGCATATTGTCTGCAATTTGTATGCGCAAACGATGCGATGTCGCAATCGAGACTGCTCGAGGTGGAAGCCATCCAATCCTGATGGCACGGCTCTAATGGGTGCCTTGATTTCTTGTCGCTGCTGGGAGCTTGTGCTGATTGCATTTTTAATGCACCAAAGTTTCAATTAAGGCTGGCTTTCCAGATCGTGTGGGCGGGGGAGTCTAATCAATTCAATATTCTCGGTGCTATATATAGGGGTGCCTATAATCCGCCCTGAGCTAATCCCATCAGCTCGAACTCGGCTGACTTGTCTTGGCCCGAAACCTAATCCAATGCCAGATGCGGAGCGTGACAACGTCAACGCCGCTGCTAATTTGCCTAACACTTTCGGCTGACATCTCTCAACTTTGGGCCATGCATTCTCGCAAGTTTTGTTTAGCAGCTCACCTAATCCCCGGCCCCAGATCCCCGGAACCCTGCATCAATTATGAATCCCGCCCGTCGCCAGAAGTCGTGTAAATGCACGGCGAAACTTTTCGCACACACGCCAAAAGACACCGGAAAATGTTGCAGGAGGGGGTGGGGGAGGGAAATGCGGATGGAGTTTCAAGTTGATTTTCTTTTGGAAAATTACATAAAGTGCAGTCAACTTGTTAGAGCTTTTGGCATTGCCTGCAAAGTTCGCTTTCGACGAGAATTTCGTTAATTAATGTTGGCCAAAAAGTTGATTCTCGCCCCGCCTTTGTGCGCATATCACTCATACGTTGTGTTGCACACGAGTGTGGCTCTTAAAATATCAAATCATCATCAGCCCGCTGCGGACCCCAATTATAAGTACTTGTATGTACCACTGCGAGGGCACTCGAAGTTCGGGCCTCCGGCTCATTGGGATCATTAAACGCTGAAGGATGCTTAGAGCAGTTTTGGGAATTGTGTATGAAATTAATGCTAAGCTAGCCTGGGCGCTTTAAAGTTGGGATGCAAGCCGTTTGAAAAGTGGGTTCTTCTATTTGGTAAATTAAAGGATTTTTGGTAAAGTACTGTAAGCAGTAAAACCATGATTAACACAACTATTTCAATTTGGTATTCGCCTGGTACATTTATTAAGAATCATTTTTGGCGTTCAGCAATGTCAATTTGATATTAAGGAATGGTATTTCTTGGACTTCCTCTCTTTGAAAATGCTCTCAAATGGAAAAAGAGAGAAAAGAGCCATAAGCCGCATAAAATTACTCTGTGAAAGAGCGAGACAGCAATATTCGAAGCTCTCTGAAATAGGAATAGAGAGCAAAAAGCAAGATGGCGATCATATCAAAGTAATACTCGTAGCTATCTAGATATAATTGATACCGAATATTATCAAAATGTTCATCATATCTTATCAATTTATTTATGTGTGTTATTTAATTATTTTCACTGCTTGCTTCTGGAGCTAGTTTCACAATCGCCCTGCATCCCATCTCTAAAGAATTTATGTAGAAGAAAGAATCGATCTTTACTCACTCGGAGAATCCATGAGCAGGTCGT